ACCTGTGATTCTAAAATGTTATAAAATCCCTGCTTAATGTAAAATTTTCTAAAACAAAATTATAGATTTGACAAATAAAGCTTGTCATTGAAAAGGAAACCATCTCTGCCAGAGGCATTGCTGCTTTACTGGTGCAAATAAGTATTTACTTTAGAGCTTCTCCAAAAAAATATCTTTGTTAACAAATTTAAAGTATAGGATAAATTATCAAAACACTTGTTAAAAAGTAGAGGCTGAACCAATTTTAACCAGCAATCTTTTGACCTTTCTCTGAAAAAAAAAAAAAAGAAAGTATTGATCATGATTACATCAGAAATGTTATAAAATATTTCAAGAATTAAATTTACTTTTAATGATGTAACATGAAATATATTTATAGCTACACCATATGCAGCAAATGATGTTTTCAGTGAAAGAAACTAAAAGTCCAAAATCGTTTAATCACTGCAGGATGTATTAATTATTCTCCAGTTACTGGCAACCTTTCTCTGTCCTTTCTGGCCACACCTCGTACACAAAAAGAGGTAGATTAGTAGAAAGTTGGTTTACTTTCACACTCTGTTGAACACAGGAGAAATTCTCACTTTGAGGGGTCATCAGAGAGTCATTGTGGGTTGCCACAAGCTAGAGATCTGATTCATCCTGTATTTCAGTCACCACTAGTAAAAGCTGATAGATTTTAATGCAATGAAGACAAGTTTCTTGAAGTTTAGATACTGAGGTGCTCAGTTAAACTTGCTAAAGCAATTAGTTTAGCCATAGCCCCAGTTTCACAGGAAAAGGGTGACTGTTGGGGTTTTTTAGATGTCAAATATCTAAATTTATAAATTTAGAAACAAAAAATATACATAAATTAATATGTATATATATAAATAAAAAGAAATAAAAATAAATGTCTAAATATCATTACACATAGTTGTAAGAATACATGCCTGTGCATTACTTACAAGGTTTTTCTCTATTTTTAATTCTCTATTTATATCTGAAATTCAATCTATAGCACAGTAATATAATTTAGATAAAATTCTTTTAAATATCATGCATATATTTAGCTATATATATAAACATGTATATGTATGGTTTAGTATTAATGCAGCGGTATGGAATTGTCCATATCTGCACTTATTTCATGGTCTGTTGACTTTTCATTGACTTCTTAAGTACATTTTAATAGACATAATATGAAGCACTTCCTAGGGCAATTTTTCTTTACAGAGATGTTACCAGAGTTTCGTTGAGAGGATGGTGGGGTTTAGAATCTGACATTAGTAACTGGTACTGAGTTAGTACATTATCTGGAAGCTTACAATAAAATAGACTTTCTGGGAAAAGTATCCCAAAATGTGCAGGGATGGGTGTGCAATACAGAAATAGTATTATCTCCTCTGTTAGTCTCATTAAATAATGGAACTAAAATTTCCCCCAGCTGGGAATTGACTTGGTCCTATGGGAAACAGTTTCATCATTGAATTCATGATGAACAAGACCAGACCCTAAATGAGTAAAACCTATGCCTGTTTTCTCCTCAAATGTCTCAATTTTTTTATTCCCATTTCTGTATGTGTACCCCAAATAAAAGCCTCTAACCTGTTTCACTGAAGGAATAAGGCAGAACATTTATATTAAAACAAAATAAAGCCAGAATTATGCAGGGACAATATCCACCTGGTCCATCCTCCTGCCCTACAAGAAATGTATTATTTCAGATGTGCATGAAAAGAGTTCTTCCTCACATTTAACCTTAAGATTTCACATGCACCTTTTCCTATTGTTCTACATAGCAACATATATGTCCTATCCTATTAGATATAAAGCAGGACAAGCACTGAGTTCACTTTGGTGTTTCCGAGTGTTTCTGGCTTCTCTAGTGTAAAACAAATTAAAATCCATATCGCCACTTCTGTGATACATTCATCCCAGTTGATCTCTTTGTTCTTTAGATTTTCCTTAAGAAATATGAAAACCCTCATGTTTCTTAAAAGTCAACAGTCTCTGAAAATGAACTATTTATGGGAACAGTCAATTCAGCTTCCCCATATAAAAATTTAGCTAGTTTTCACATTTTTTTTAAATCTTTTTGTAGAATTGCAGTTTACACATACCTAGTGAAATGGTTCATAACCCCTATGTAAATAGTTTTTTTAATTCACACAGGTTTGAGAAGCTCAAGATCAAGCCAATGTACAAAAGACATAATAACATTATTTTATGTAAATTTTAAAATTCCACAGAACCAATCATGTACTAGATTCTGTTGCAGTTTTCCACAAAAGCTTAGTGAACATAATTTTTATGTTTGCATGTATGATGGCATACAGTACTGTCCACCAGTACAAAACAGGGTATACAATGAACTCGGGTTTAATGTCTGATTCTTCTGTAGATGTTAATGAACAATTTATTTCACTGGAGCAGGAGCAAGTCCTAAGTACTGCATTTAGGTCTGGGCACATAAGAAGAACATGGAGCTATTGGACAGAGCCCAGAGGAAGGCTATGATGATGATCAGAGGTCTGAAGCACCTCTCCTGTGAAAACAAGCTGAGAGAGTTGGGGCTTGTTCAGTCTGGAGAAGAGAAGGCTCAGGGGAGATCTTAGAGCAGCATCCAGTGCCTAAAGGGGGCCTACAGAAAGGCTGGAGAGGGACTTTTTACAAGGGCAAGCAGTGACAGGACAAGGGCTAGTGGCTTTAAACTGTAAGAGGGGAGATTTATATTAGAAGAAGAAATTCTTCATTATGAGGGTAATAAGGCACTGGAACAGGTTGCCCAGAGAAGCTGCGGCTGCCCTATCCCTGGCAGTGTTCAAGGCCAAGGATGGGGCTTTGAGCAACATGGTCTAGTGGAAGGTGTCCCTGCCCATGGCAGGGGAATTGGAACTGGATGATCTTTAAGGTCCCTTCCAACCCAAGACATTCTCTGATTTTAATACACCCTTCAGCTTCGTGTTCACTCTGTTCTGTTCAGTTAACACACTCTCCATTGCTGTGACAATTTAGAAGCATTTATTCTGTAAATGAATAGTCAGCTTTGTGCAAACAGAGCATTAGCATTAATCATATGACTCTCACATGATCTCTTGACAAAAAATGTGTTTGCAATAATTTCCTTGTCCATGACAAAAAAGTAGTTGGTGAGAAATGAAAAATAACAATTGAAAAGGAAGGTTAAAAAAAGTGATCTCTTTATACCATTTAATTTCTCTACTGAAATATTAAACCCCTTATTCTAATTAGTGTAAATATGAAAATGGCATTTCTGTTTATCAAAATGAGTCTTTGCCTACTTTATCACTGATCCTCTTACATAAATTAATATTTGTATTTCCTGATATATTTCTCCTTGGAAAATTCTGAAGAATTTTAACTTACCAGAGTCCAAAATGTTCAACTGCATACAAATAACTGAATAAACTGAATCATTGGCACTATTGAAAAAAAAAAAAAGAATACTTTCTTGGTCTTACCTAAACAGTTTTACGGTATTGAAACTTTACAGCTTTCAACACATGCACCTTCACTTGAGTTTCACTGAACACTGCTATGCAGCCACTGGAAATAATTTGCAAGAGGGCTCCTGCTTATCAGGAAATAATCCTGAATCTGAACCATAGCCCAGTGAATCCAGTATGAGTTTTTTTCCTTCAACTTTAATTGGCACTGGATCAAGCCCTCTGCACATGATCTTCCATTTCTTCGATATTAAAGAGATTCTTATGACTGTCAAACAATGTTTTTCCTGTCAATATCTATTCAAAGGGAGATTTTGAAAACCATCCTAGAACTCTGCAAAATGAAAATGAGACTTGGATTTGTGTGTCAAATAATAATCTTCAGAAGCTTGTTATATTGCAGATGGAGATTTCAGCTGCCATGTTGTCCTTCTAAAAATAACATGCAGTTTTCCAGTGAGCATGCAGTCAACTAGCAAACCCAGTGTGCATTTATATCACAAAGAATCATCTGAGAAATCCATCTTTATAGATTTCTACAAGCAAATTGGAAAAACTGTTCATTTTCTACATAAGAAAAAATATTCTTAAAATCTTGAAAAACATGATACATCTCAAAGTCCTTTTATGTTTCACATTGGAAGAAAAAAAATACCACAGATGAAAGTGATAATGAATAAACTATCTAAGAACTAATTGATGTTTCTTTTAAATGACAATGCTGGCAAACCACAAGAATGGAATGTTAAGGTATTTACTGTAAGCCAAGAGGAAAAGGTTTATATGCATTATCTCCAAGCCAAAATACACAAAATCCATTTTCAGACTTTAAATAAAATACAATCAAAGGACCATTTGTGACTTTGAGCCCCTGCCTCTTTCTTATGTTATAAAGGATCCCCAAATTTTCCAGCACCATTTTGGCCCTTTCCTTTAAAAGGCAGATACTGTTTAGTTAGGAAGGCACTTGTACAGTTTTTTAGTCCTGATCCAATTCCTACTGTTGCCAGTGGGAAATTTTCTGTTGATTGCAATAGAAATAAAAAGATGGTCCTTAAATTAGACTTAGCATTCTACATTAAAATAGTTGCTGATAAAATTGATTAATCTGTGACTGTCCCAGTGGCTTATCAGTAAGTTGACGAGACACAGACAGTGTATTTTTTGAACCAGTTGTAAGGCAGAAAAGCTGAGGTTATTATTTGGATTCCCTGAGGAAAAGCTGTAATTGTTTCATGTATAGGTAAATGTATTCTAGATATTCCCAGAGTGACCTTGGCAGCCAACTGTGTTGCCCTTAGTGTCAGCAGAAAGAAGGCTGTTGGTGTCAGTGGGCTTTGGATCAGGCTTTAAGGACAGAGAAAGCTTGCTTAAGGAGGAGAACAGACATAACGAATAGTCCTGAAACCCCAGGTTTTGTCACTTACTTAGACTTTAGAATATCAACAAGACACTTTAAACCCTGGAGAATAATTGTTGTAAGTAAACGATTTCAACCTTGTATGTTTCTACAATTGTATACAAGAATAAAGAAGAACAAATCTCTCTGGCTTACAAAAAAAGTCAAGTACTTTATTTATCAATAGAGATTTTAGATGCTTTTTACACCATTGCAATGACTAAACAAATAGCATAAAATAAACAAAGGAGAGTATAAAATCACTTTATTCCAGCTGGTATCCCAAGACAACCTTTTGATTAAGTACAGAGTTAGGTGTTTCAAGTATGGCACTTATATATAAATAAGAGCAGAGAGAAAGTGATATATTCACAGTTAAAAGCAATGAACTCTGTTCCTTTGGTATGTGTGTCATAGCTGATCGTAGGTAAATACATAACTTGGTTGGCATAAACCAACTCCATTTTATTCATGCACATATTAGGGAATAAACTGAAATGTACTGATATATTCTGCAGATCACAACTAATGTAAGATGATTAAGGTCTCTGGTGTGTGTGTGGACAGGCAAACAAATAAAATGCCAAAATTATATTCAGCGTTTATTGTTTAGCATAACTAATTGATGCACAAACTATGATAGAAAATAGCTAATAATACACACCAGGAATAAACTCTGTGATTTAGACAAGCAAAATAAGACATCTGTGAGATAGGTGAACGCAGATATCCTTATTGAGCTGTGGTCAGGCTCCTTACAGTGCGATTATCCTCCTTTTAAATCATGCTTACATCTGCACATTGCAACAGTTTCCCCTACCCCACCCCACATAGAGTATCCTTGCAGATTTTTAATACAAACATTCTACACATTTACAACAATTAGTCAGACAGTCCAAACTGTAAACTTATCCTAACAACGACCAAAAAGCTGTTCCACCGACAGGTAACGCTGTCAGTCATTAGAAAGAAAAGTAGGAATAATAGTAGCTGTGCTGTAAGGCTAGATCAAGCATGGGTTTATAGCTGTTTTTTCAGTCTTTTACATAGCACTGCATTCTGCAGCTAGTTCAGTAAGTGCGGATCCAATACCTTAATGGCTTTCTTGGTGGTTTGATAAAATGCTTGCCTAAGCAATGTACCTTTCTCTAATGGTATCTGGGTCTGTTCCACCTGGCACGGTGTTTCAGTTCTGTCACAACCTCACACATAAGCTGAGTCACTTGACTGAGTCCTGCCAAAGTTGGGCATACTCATTCTTGGCAGATCCTTATTTCTGATTTCGTATATGGATTTCCTTTTTGCCTGTACTCCTCTCACTGCCATTTTGATCTTTCTCCAGCCCAAGTGGTTCAGTTCTGCCAAATTGAGCACCACACAAATCCCACTGACAGCAAACATGAATACCAAGAATACAGTCTTCTCAGTGGGTCTAGAGACATAGCACTCTACTTCTTTAATGCAAGGGTATCTGTCACATTCATACATGGAAGGGACATTGAATCCATACAGAAAATACTGTCCCACTAAGAATCCAATCTCTAGGGCATTTCGAAAGACCACTTGGATGATATAAAATCGAGAAATGCCTTCTTGCCTCCTCATCTTTGACTTTGTAGTTCTGATAGCAGGATTGGGGATTTCCTTCACTTCTAAGCAGTCTGGTTCTGCCTCTTTGGTGGAGTTCTCAGTGTTCTGCAGCACCCCATTGACAATCGTGTTCTTGATTTTCTTACTGTCCTCACGCTTCATGGAATCCTGGTCCCTCTCCAAGGTGAGGAAGACAGTGGAGTACCTACGTTCCCTCTGCTTAGCAGACTGGTGAACGGAGTATGTTATGAAGCAAAGGCTGGGAGTGCATACCATGATGATCTGGAACACCCAGTACCTTATGTGAGAAATAGGGAAAGCCTGGTCGTAACAAGCCTGGTTGCAGCCTGGCTGCAGCGTGTTACACACAAACATAGTTTGCTCGTCATCGTACACCGTCTCCCCTACAATGGCCACAATGAGTATCCTGAAGATCACCACCACGGTCAGCAGGATCCTGGAACAGAGAAGCCCGTCAGTGCTCGCCGCCGCCGGGAGCTGTCCAGTGCTGACCGGGCTCGGCTCGCGGCGCCCAGGCCCAGCTCGTCACCCCGGCGGCGGCAGCCCCGCTGCCGCTCAGGAGGCGTGCAGCCCGCTGTAGCATCGCCTCGGCGCGGTCGTGGGCGCCCGTGCGAGTCCGCGCTGGCAAAAATCTGGGGCGGGAGTCAGCGCTGCCGCCCGCCCCGACCTCCCGCCGGAGAAAAATCAGCCGCAAGGGCGGCGGTGGGGGGGCCCGAAAACACGGGAGGGAGGGGCAGGGGGTCGCTCTGGCCGCGGGACGCCGACGGCAGCAGGGTCTCCCCGATGCCCGCCCGCTGCACCGTGGGGACAAGGACGGCGGCGTTCGCGTTGTCCCTAGGCCCCGGTGGCCTGTGCTGCAGACATAGATACACACACGCAAGGCGCACACCGCAGGAGCCCCGCGCGAAGGGTGCACCCCACAGCCGCGACCCGCGTGTGCCGCCGGCCAGCCCTGATACGGGGGGATCCCGCCCGTGGCCCCATTGCTCCCCGCCGCCTTACCTCCCGATCATAGTAGAATGCTGCTGCACGGCAGCTTCCAGTAGCCTCTCTAGAATAGTCCATTCCCCCATCGCTGTTCATCCGGAGACAAAGACTTTGGGAAGCGGAGGGGATCTCTTCACTTCTTCCTTCCTTTTCCCCCCGCCTCTTTTTGAGGAAGATCAAACAAAAGAGAAACGCCTCTCTACCGCCCGCAGTCCCGTGGCGGAAAGGCTGCTGGAGGCGGCAGCCGTGCCGAGGGCTCCCGACTCGGCTCGGCTGGGCCGGGCTGGCCTCGGCTGGACTGGGCTGGGCTCGGGGCCCCGCGGCGGCCGCCACCGGCCCGGCCCGCTCGGTTCGTGGGGCGGCGCGGCGGACCCGCTGCGTGGTGGGAGGAAGGCTGGCTTTTAGTGTCTTGCTGCCTCTAATCTGCCTTTAAGTACTCTCCGCTTGCGTCACTGACAGGTTGGTGGAGAACAGCCAAAAGCAGCGCTCGGATTTTCTCATTTTTATTATTCCGATGAATGCAAATAAATAAATGTGATAAAACGAAATAAATGGAGGAGGAGGAGGGAGGGCGGAGGTAGAGCTGCCCCAGCCGGCACGAGGCTTGTCGTGCAACCGAGTGCCTCTCGCTGGCCGCAGCAGTCGGGACGGGCCCCCGCTGCCCCGCCCGCCCGCCGGAGCACAGCCTGGCGCTCTCCCGGCGGCACGGGCACTCCCCGGCCCGGGAGAGCGGCCTCGAGGGAAACGGGTGCTGCCCCTCGGCTCCTGGCTTGAAAAGCTGAACACCGCGGCCCCTCCGGCCACGAACGCCTGGCTGCCCGGGGGAGTCCCAGGGGCTGCTCTGCTTTGCAGCGACTGTGCTTTCTGCCGCTCACAAAACAGCGGTGTCATACGGCAGTAACCTTACCTGTTAGAACTGCTTGTCCTTGGAAAGCGTAGGACTTCGAATTGCATCCTTATTGTCCCCCGATTACAGGCGTGAGAATCGCTCAGGAGAAATGAAGTGCATAGCTATTTCAGAGAATTCTGAGCCTGATACTGTGCTTAAGCTGGGAAAGACACCAAACCTTCATACAAAGCATCTCTAAACAGCACCAGAATTAAGTATCTCGAGTAAATCCCTGATTATAATCGATCCACATATTTTATTCTTATAGACTACTACACTGTGTTTGAAATATTTTTCATTTTACAGATACCCTTGAAGACTGTACCTGAGACACCATCAAACAATTCCACACAACATTGGCACCAACTGGAATCGACTGTTCTCTGGTGGAAAAGCATAAAATGTATTCTACATATTTCCATAAAGATCAAGTATAGCTTCCTACCTGCTGTTCATTTTGCTCAACTAATCTTATTTAAAAGCAACATAAGACAAATTCTAGTCATTCTCATTATAATGCCCCTACTACTAGTAAAATCAGTCTCTTTCAAAAGCAGAACTGCTCAGGCCATCGTAAACAATGTAATCTTTTATTTTCTTTGCACCTCTCTTGTGAACTAATTCTGTGTTGCCTTAATGATGTGTTTTCTGAATAGATGGAACCACGCTTCATCTGTGCAGAGGACATCTGTGTATTTTAGACACCCCAAGGTTTGCCATCTCTTCAGTTGTAGTGTGCAGATGGTCTCTGATTCACATGGTATTGGGTTGGTTGCCTAGTTGGATCCCCAAATCTTTGACTTAGGAAAGTGTCAAATGAGAGAAGATCAGTGAATACCTCTGCACAGAAATTGGTGGATTTTTCATCCCTCTCAACCAAGAGTCTGTAAAGAAGCATTCAATAATCTGGATTGTTTTCTTCCCACACTGTTGCAAATTACTGGTAAGACTGAATAATCACTGGTTTTCTCTAAAATTTGGCTGCATTTTCCTAAAATCTGGTTCTCACATTTCCTGCATTTGTGCTGCAGAAACACCATAACTAATAAGAAAGGTTGTTTCTTTTAAGAGGACTGTAGTATTTATCCAATGACCCTGACAACTGAGTGCCTCTCATATGGACCACAAAGTATCTGTTTGAAGATGGATCTGAAAATGGGAGAAACCATACCAGTAAAGGAAGCAGTAATGCATGCGCAGAAGGAGAGAGGACAGGAAATATGCTAAGAAGCTAATGATGATAATTCTGTTTAGCAAACCAAACAGAGAGAGAAAGCCTGTGATTGAAATTATTAGGGAAAGAAGAATTTGGTTCATAGACAAATGTAAGAATTTACAAAGCAAAGCTGTTCTCTAGTGCTCAGATAGAAACCCCACTTATCTGAGCTTTTAGGACCAGTAAATAAAAAGGAATTAAATTCTGATCATATAAAAAAAATGGCCTATTAATGAACAGTTAGTCAGTGTTTGCTGTGTGTGATAAATTCTATTTACTACTGACAACCCAGCTGTGGAGACATGGAGGGGAAATACTATAAATGAATGCTACAAACATGTAAGCACTGTTATGAAATTACTTTTGTTTTAAATATGGTTTAAAGTTAAACACTTTCAGGTCTGCTTTTACAGGAGTTGCATCTCATTCTAAAATAGCTGGCCTCTCCTTTTTTAACAGTAACCTCATGCATCCCCCAACTGTATTTACATACAGGATACTTGGCGTTGGACTTGAAAAAGTCTACTGAATTTTAGACCTTAGTGAGTTTGGGGGAAAAAAGAATCGTGTCAGTGTGAGACTTCCTTTCATGATGTCAACATACATTTTAAGTGCCTGGAAAGCTCAAAGGACTTTGATATATCTCAAACTTACATGTACAGTTTCTGGAACTATGATTTTCTATCCTTACTTTGAGCCCTGAGTTCTTTTCAAAATAGAAGTAATAAGAATCAATGTGATGTTCTCTGAGTGGTTAGTGCAACAGTGAAAGGTTTATGAAGAACATAATTATTTGCATTTCCATTATCCATTACATGTATAACAGCAACCTGTGGACTTGTCTGACAAATTGTCTAAATAAGAAAGTACTCATGTCATGTATAGTCATGATTGTAGACAGAGAATTGTAAACATAAGAAGATTTTCAGCTTCTGAAGGTTCATCTGAGGTTTTACACCATTCCCCTGAATGCTTCCGCCTATGATAAAGCCGGGATCTGCAGAGCAGAACACTGCCAGGAATGCTGTGAATGTGTATTACAGTGTGTGGTATTCATATTAAAAAAACATGCCTACATTTCACTCACAAGCATTCAGGATTATTAAAGCTCTCCTGGCTTACAAAGAACCATTTCCTAATGAAGCAGCAGCACCAGTTTGCGGTAGGACCAAGCCTGCCTTGTTCAATACTGTTATCAGTTGCATACAAAGGAAACAAAATCAACTTCCCACTCCACACATGGGCTTTTTGTGGGAGGGTACAATTTTAATTTGAAGAAAATGAGTATTCATCTACACACAGAATTCAGTATGAACTCTGTTGTCCCTAATAGGAGCTCAAATAAGCTTTGCAAAAAGAAATCTTCAGTCTGCCTGCGTTCAAAAATGCCACTGCCACAATATTAATTTGTGAGAAAATAATATAAACTAAGTTGATCTTGGATTAGGTCTGAGGAATGAGACTCTATTTGTCCTCAGTTTGGTGCCAAATTGAGGTTAATATGTTTCTAAGATGATGTAGGCCATATTCTCTCTAAGAAGTCCAGCCCTTTTGCCCTGGTCAGGTTTTGTGAAGGGTCCAAAAAGCAGTCAAATCTCGCAGGCAGCATATTCTTCAGTAGAGAGAGGGTCAGACTGGGAGCAGAGATGCCACACTTGGCTCTCCTGTCAGTCCCCCTGCAGCCTGGATGTAGATGGCATGATTGGGTGGGATGAAGAACCCACATGGCTAGTGCCATACCTGGTATAAGATAGTGTGCTAAACAATGTCATTTCTCTGCTTTCTTATTTTCTATGCTAAGGTTTACTTATGTTAAAACCTAATCCATATCTTGCACAAGCCTTCCCTATGTACAACCTCCTTTTAAAGTCATACATTCATCCTAAATTTATTCCAAAGATTTTATCTTAAAATAAATCTACATATTTCAAGTACTATCCCATACGATCCTCATGACCTTCCTTGATGATCTTTTTCTGCAGTTGTTCACAATGGATCCATAATTGCAGCAAATAAATAAATATCGTATTTAGATTCCAAACCTGCATGACAGATAACTATTTCATTATTTTATTACAAACCACTGTTTCCATAAATTGTACAAAACTGGGGGCAAAGGAAGAGCTTTTAATTAAAATCTGTGAGCTATTACTAAAGAAAATATTGGTTTTGTCTTTTAGAATTTTTTGTAAAACATGTTGCCTCATATCTGCTTTGTAACTGCATTTCTAGCTAATGCCACAGAAGATTTTTCAATGTTACTGTCATAAATCAGTAGAACTTTATTTGGAGAACTGATAAATTCTCCCTTTCTGCTAGTATTTGGTGTCATCCATGAAATCTGGAGTCATTAACTACTAAACTGAAAATGCCTTTTTAAGACCTCTCATAGCCATCTGCTACTCTCTGTTTTCATTTGGTGCCATGTGTGTATTAATGAAATGATTGCATCAGATTAGATCTTTTATTCATAAAATCATCTAGGTCATCTGTTTCCACCTACACTTTCTCTCTCATTAAAATGAGCATTTATGCCACGTTCTCCCCCCACTATATGGGTACAACCCTAACTGCAGTCAGCTGCTATGTGGATCTTAATAAGAAATCCCTCTCGCTGTTTTTCTCTCAGATGAGATGCCTTCAAAAGACAACTTGAGTATTTTATACCACAGAAAGTGTATTTTTCCTACAATTTAAAAAGTAAAGACTTCCGAAAAGGTAAGAGACCTGGATGTACTAATGACCTCAGTCCTTCACAAAAGAAAACAACATTTCAAAAATACTGTCATTTTGTTGCCAAGAAATAAGTAGCACACTCTTCACAGCTGGCCAACAGTGTTTGTGTCAGAGCTGTCAATAGCAGGGCAAGCACTTCTGTTCCTTGTTGCGAGGAAGAAATACAGCCTATATTTATACACTTCATGCTTGAGAATAGGAAGGTGTCAAGTGCACAGAACTGAGGACTTTCTGTAATGGGTAAGCAGGCAAAATAGCCTAATAACCATATTAAGACTCGACTGTGTATCAGAGGTACGTATCTATGACTGAAGATTGCTATAAATGGAAAATTCTTTGGAAAATCAATGAATGTTACCTGTAAAGAAGAATATATCTATGAATATTCACAAATTTTTAAAGTGAGGGCTTGTAAGTCGTATGCTGAATTTCCATAACTATTTTTTGCCAAGGTTGGCTAGTATAAGAAATGTTCTTGAGCGGGGCAGGTATTGAGTAAATATTCCTCAATGTTCTGAGCTAATGCAATTTAAAATATCTAAATGTAACTGCTTTAATTAGAAAAAAAAAATGTGTATCATACTTTTCTAGTTACAGAATATTTTATTCCCTGGAAGACAAAATCGCTCAAGTTTCAAGGGGGCCTCGTGTAGCAGTCCATGAAGACATTTTAATGCACAAGTTAACGACGCAAATCAATTTCTTTGGAAATATTTTGCATCTATATACTAGATAGCATTTGCATATACTTCTGGCATATATTCATGGATATATACACACACACACACACACGTATATATATATGCACATTCTTGAAAACTCCTGAGCATAAGCTCTGCTTATTTGCAGACAAGCTGCAGCTAGGAGAAGGAAAACATCATTGAATCAAGACTTTAGGAGCTGGCAGGCTTGGGAAAAAAATGTACAGAAGAATTAAAATATTCCAGTGGCCAAATCATCTGCTGCCTGTATCTTGATTTTCCCTTCTGTCTTTCACCATTTTCAAAAGAGCACTCACATTGTGCTAAAGTATCCATTAATGTAGCTTCATGGACTATGATGACTTAAGTGTAAATTTGTGAGCAAATCTTATATGGATTCCCATTATAATCTACTTTACGATTCCATACTCACTAAAGAAAGAGCCTTTCAAAAATACCTTGGACATGGAAGAGTATGAAGGATTCCATATAACCAAATTTAGTACACACTGCAAGGATGCAAGGGAATATGCACATACTAACACACTAATAATGAATTTAATATGGGAATGAAAATGATCT